CCTGTACAAACTATTGTAGCTAGTTGTCTATTCACCCAATACTTTTGGTTGTATAAGTTTGTGAACGTATGTGTGTGTAGGTGTACTTATGTTCGATAATGCTACATATGAAACATGTATTTCAATACTTAATAATAGATCACAGAATGGCTATAATATCAATGTAACCAGTCTCTTTTAGACATGTGGGTTATCGCTGAGTCTTTATTATAATAAGGGTGGGCTCTGAGCGAGTAGAAGCTTGAGGCATGGCCATCGAGACCAATGAGAAGATAACAGTGATAATTTAGGTGGACAAGTTAGGGAGACAGTGGGGAGAATGAGGGCATGGGATGAATATTTTGGTGCTGTTAGGAGTTCTCAGTGACCAAGTGTCTATGGGGGCAAAACACAGCATAAAGCCAGCTCTCAGATTCCTGGTTTGAACAAATAGGGGCTAGAATGAGAGCAGAGAGGAAATTCAGGGGAGGAATGACACCTCAAAGAAAGAAGAAGATAAGGAATTTATCTCATCCACTGGTTAATTTTTTTTTTTTGCATATGTGGGACACCAAGCAGATGAGATCCCGTGAGAATCCCATGAGAGTCTTTGTGGAGTGATATTGTAAAGATAGAGGTAGACAAACTCATTCTGACTGATCATGAAATGAAGAAAAGATGGGGCTGAGGATGATCCTGGTGAGCTGTAATGTCTGTAAAGGTTGGAAATGAGTGTAACCAAAGCTGTGATATGCTGAGTTGTAAGGAGAGGGATCAGAAGGGACCCGGTGTCTCAGAGTGGCTGACAATGTCGCCTGTTATAGACATATTGAAAGTGCAAGTTCTGCAAAGTGGCCGTTGGATGAATCAGTTTCAAGGCCACCTTTGCAGACCAGAATCAGTAGTGATAACTCTGTCATGCTACTAGTATAGGTTGTGAATGGGTACAGAGAAAAATGAAAGTTTTTTTCCAAGGTATGTATGTATATACATACATATGTATGTATGTATGTATGTATGTATGTATGTATGTATTTTTTATTTGTGTGTTTGTGTGTGTGTGTGTGTGTGTGTGTGCCCACTAGAGCATGCACATTCTGTGGTCAGGTGCCTACAGAAAAGATGGTTGTGAGCTGCCAGACATGGGTGCTGAGGACTGGACATGGATCATCTGAAAGTTCATCAAAGACTCTTAACCCCTGAGACATCCCTTCACGGCAAAGTTACTATTATTATTTTACTATTATTTTGAGTGGTAGAAGAGGTGGCAAGTAGGAAATTCTCTACACAGGGCAGCAGAGTTTCCCCTTGTGTCTTCTATCCTAGTTTGAGGGTGTGTCAGTGCAGCATTTATATGCCAAGGAAAAGGCTGTTTCTGTGAAGACATTCAGACTAATCTTTGTGGATGATTGTGTCAAAGACAAGGATCAGAGATGAAACCTGCTCATTGCTTGCTTTGGATTTCCTGAAAGGAAGAGTGGGATGTCTCTGGGATTCTTGGTTGAGGCTTCCTATGGTTTAACCAATCCATGTTTAACCAATGGTGTAGTATCTTAAGGTTTCTATTGCTGTCACAAAACACCATTATCAAAAAGCAAGTTGGAGAGGGAGGAAAGAATTTGTTACAAGGCTTACACATCCATATCGTGTATGGAAGGAAGTCAGGACAGGAACTCAAACAGGGCAGAAACCTGGAGGTAGGAGCTGATGCAGAGGCATGGAGGGATACTGTTTACTGGCTTGCTCAGTTTGCTTTCTTATAGAACCAGGACCATCAGCCCAGGCATGGTACCACCTACAATGGGCTGCTCTGCCATCAATAACTAAGAAAATGCCTCACAGATGGATCTAATGGGTTTATCAATTGAAGTTCCCTCCTTTCAGATAACTCTAGTTGGTGTGAAGTTGACATAAGACTAGCCAGCACACATAGGGACTCACAGTGTAGAAGGAAAACACTACCTGCCCAGATGGGCAAATCCACATCGTCAACCACAATGATCTGATGATGTGGGCAGCCAGTTCATCCTGCCTCTGTAGCATCATTGTCCAAAGCTGGGGTAGGGTACCAATGGTTGCCATTTTCCTCTCTCCACATTGCCTTTTTTAAAACCCTTCTTATCTTCCTTAGCTGGAGCTGTCCTTTCTCTCCCCTAGAACCCAGGTCATTATGTAATGTCTGGGTACAGTTTCTTGGACTGTGTGGTGTGTGTGTGTGTGTGTGTGTGTGTGTGTGTGTGTGTGTGTGTGTGTGATGTAGCATATGTGAATGCTCACATCCCTATATGTACATGTGGAGGCCAGAAGTTGGCATTGGACATCTTTCTCTGCCACTTACCACCTTACTTTTGCAGGCAGAGTCTCTCACTGAACACAAAGTTCACCAGTTTTCTAGATTGCCTGTCTAACAAGTTCCAGGATCCTCCGTCTCTTCCTCTCTGTTCATCTAAGCACAAGGCTACAGACATGTTGCTACACTTGATTGTTTATGTGGGTGCTGGGGTTCTGATCTTTGTTCCTCATGCTTGTGTAGTGAGTAGTTTAACCACCGAGCTATCTCTACACCCCTTGGATTCAATATTATTTCAGTCATGTTTTTGGGCTCTGCATTCTCTTTGGATCCTTTCTGGAACATTTCCTTACCACTGCCCTCTGGATACCTTCAGGAGAATGTTGCTCTTTCAGGTCTTTTTCTACCCCAAGACTGACAGATCTCGGCCTATTTGATGTTCCTATTTGTGTGATGCATGGGTGCATGGGGATGAGTGTACTACAATGGAGCTGTTGCTATTTTACTCTGCAGACTCACACCTACTCCCTTTCAAGCCCCCCCCCACCTCAGCCACCAGTGCTACCACATTCTAGGCGCTGAAGTCATTGATACTAGCTTTGTCTCTGACCTCTTCTCTTCTCTCAGCTCTAATATGCAAGCTTACCTATGTCCTTCTCTACAAAAGGTTTCTTAAGTCTGGCCCTTCTCTCCACAGCCACAGGTATCGCTAAAGGGCAGGAAACTGCTGTTGCTTTCTCCGAAGCTGCATAGCTTCCAACCTTTTTAGATCTTCCTCTACCTGCGTCTCACATACTCATTTTCCTTCCCAGACCATTTCTTTGCATTGTTCTCCCACCATTCCACTGCTGGCCAGTGCCTTCTTCTAGAGCATTCTTTGGTGATAAATCTTCAATGCCACTTCCTAGAGGTGCCCCCCCATCTCTCTCTCTCTCTCTCTCTCTCTCTCTCTCTCTCTCTCTCCCTTCGCCATCAAGAATGGCTCCCCCTTTCTTAACACTACCTCAGTCCTCAGAACTTTCTTCCTTCACAGCAGCAATTACAGCTTTCAAATGTCCCACTTATTTATCCCCTTCTTTGTTTGGCTCTCATGGAGGGTTGCATATTGAGGACCAGTTGATGTTTGTATCTTTCTAGATCCTAACATCGTGAGTGCATCCCCTGAGTAAATGGATGGCCCTATCAGTCTGTGGGAAATAGGGATAGAATCTTAAAAGGGGTGACATTTGTGTTGAGCTTTCTCCAGGGAGGCTGACCCACTCTGCTTTGTCCAGACTTCTCAGCACTCCATTAGATCAGATTGTGCCAAGCCTTTTCTGCTCTGCCTGCTCACTGTCTCTCAGATCTCTCAGAGCATTGGAACTATCTTAATTTATTTTCACCTCCACTTACTATCTTCATCTCAGTGAATGTTGGTGTAATTGAATTGTCTGCTCTGGGAAAGAGACTCACAAGGGCATAGAGAGGAGAGAAGAAATAGGCTTAAGCCAGCAATAGGGCCAAGGTTTTGAAGAGATGTCTTTTTTGCTCCTCCAGAGGTGTTCATCTTTATAGGGTGCTGGTCAATGGAATATCCCTATACAGCAGTCAATAACCAGTCTTTTGATTGCCAAGTCTTAGCAGGGTTCAGGTCGTTACAGACGCCACCATTTGGGCAGCAGCTCATCTCCTGAAGCCAAAAATGGATTTACCACGGTCCATGGTGTCCCTGCTCTGCTGCCTAGGAAAGACTACAAACTCCTCTCTCTGCACCTTTTTCAGAACACAGTGGGCTCTAGTCAGATGAGTATATTTGATGCCCCCATGTTTCCTGAGACCACCTGTCTCTCTTCTGAATCTTGTTTATTCTCTTTTGTTGTCCTTTGCAAAGGGAAACGAGAAGCTGGGATGGACATTTAGATACACGGAAGAGAGCTGAGGCAAAGTTGGTATTTAAATTGCATTAGTGAATAAAACTTCTTGTGCTTGACAGTTAACTGCTTATAAAGCTGATTTAGAAGAACAGTTACCAGAAGCTGCCAGTGCTGTGGCTAAATTGTTGCTTTTGATTGCTAAGGAACATCTCAGAATATTTAATCATTCCCAATGGAGTCCCCTTACTGTGACTTGCTGCTGGTAGAGAAATGACCTCATTAGCATGTGTGTTTGCTGCTAACCTGAACAAGAACTAGATAGATAGATACATAATACATACATACATACATACATACATACATACATACATACATACATACCCCCTCAACACACCCTAGAGTGGAGTCCTTTGCTTCTGTTTCTTGGTACTTCACTGTGCTTCATGGTCTGTGTGTTCTGTTGGAATAAGAGGTCGAATACCATTCCAGGAACTTTTAACAGGAAAAAGAGCTAGCTAGCTATGAGCTTTGCAGGGCAGTCCCTAGCTGCAGCCACCCTCTGTCATTGGTAGGGTGATTACAGCTAGATTCAGATCCAAGGCTGCAGATTTTGAAGTGAAAATAGAATCAAAGCATAAATTCTGCATTTTCTCATTTCCTCTACTACAGAAGTTGTTGTGAGTTCTGAGAACCAGGTACTTACCCATTTGCTGTCTTCCTCCTGTCAGAAGACTCTTAATACATTTCTAGTCAGCACCAGATATCAATGCCCAATGTTTGCATCATTGTTCTCCAAAGAGGCCCGGCCATTTCTCCCAGCAGGGGGCGCAATGGAACTGTATGGCCACAGGCTGGGCACTGGGGATTTTCCGGCCACTCTGAAGCAAGCTAGAGGGCAAATCGTCCTTTCCAAGGCCAGAAGCAGCTGTTGCCCAGATTTTAAAGAAAGGAAGCCCTGATACTTTGGTATTGTACATTCCAAGTCACCCTGAGTTGTCCAATCAGACAGATATCCGTAGTTCTTTGGGGGCTACAGCCAACTGATAGCCTTGGGGACCTGAGGGAGTTGGCAGTCTTGGTCTTCATTACCTGCCCTGGCCCTGGCAATCTCTTTATCACCCTGTCCTCACCCTCCTGGATTCTCCTCAGCGAAGTTCAAGAAATATCACTGATTCCGGATTCAGGTATGTGCGAATGGTTTCTGTCTGGGTTATTGACAAGCTTCTTTGAGGTGAAGAGGCAAGTAGAGAATAAAACACAAATCTGCTCTAAGGCTGAATGGAAAGGTACCTGAGGAAATAAAGAGAACATTTGGACACTTGGAGAAGTCCCAGAATAAACAGTTCATGAATGGAGGCATGGAAGCTGATATTCTTTTCAAAATGACTAACTAGGCACCCCAGAGGGCTAGCTTGTGTTTCAAGCCAGGTGGCAACAAAATCAAAGCAGGCATGGAAACACTGTTTTAGTTAAAAAGATACACTCCTTTAGGAGTCCAAGATTGATACCAGGTCCATATGTTCTCTAAAGGGCTTCCCCTTTGCCTGTGGCTAAGCTACCAGAGGCAAACCAGTCAGGGGACAATTTGCCCACATTTTTTGAAAGCAGGAAACCCATTATTCTGCCCAGCTGTGGCTTTAATGTCTCACTGAGGGCATTTTAAGTGAAGCCTTGGAATTCTTCTGTCATTAGCTCATGGGATGTTTGTTGAATGGCTGAATGAGTGAGAGTCTCCAGAGAGGGAGCTGACTGGAGGAGTCTTTATCACAAGAACTTCTGATTTCTCCATGAAGAACATCTCGGATTACTTGGGAACAAACAGAAAACAGAGAAGCAGGTCCAGCCAGCTTCACAAGCATGTGGTGTAGTGCTTGGCAGAACTTTTCAGTAACAAGTGGCTTCAACTTGTTAGTTTGCACTGTACCCCACAAATTATGTGGCCTGTTCTAACAGAGAGCCATTCAGGAACAAGCTTATATATGAAAAGCTCCTCGTGGTGACAGTGAACAAGAGATGAGAGTAGACCCTTTGAATACTTGGTATTTTGCTGTATGCTACAGTAATCAATGAAATGCTTTGCATAAAAGAGCTTCTAGGAGCCAGTGTTGGACAGTTATGAAGAAGTTTGAATCCTTGCTTAAAACCCCCAAAAACCTCCTATCTCTTCTCTCATTAGCTTAAGTCTTCAGGAAAGTTAATGAGCCTCTGTAAGACTCATCTTTTTTTAAGTAGGGACAATGCCACCTACTCAACAGGGTTTGGCAGACAAGGTATATGTAGAGTACTCTGGGCACAGTGCCTGGGATATGGATGACTCTCAGTAAAGGTAGCTGTCATTGTTCTTGGAATTGTAACTCTGGTTACCTGTAGCCCTCTGTGCTCAGTGTGCTTTTCCATCAGGCTCCTGAATTCGCAGACTGCATGGTACACGTGACGTGCACCCACAAGCACATTTGCTAAGTTTTTCCCATAAAGCTATTGGTGATAAGATTAGAAAAGTAGCCCAGGTGTCTTTGATGGTATGAGTGGCATGTTTGCACTTGTAGGCTGCTGGAAGATTTCCCCTTTCTCTATGCTTTTAGCTTTTTACTTGTTTTACTTACTTACACATCTTATTCCAAATACATAGTGTCTTTCCAAACACCAGAAGGGAATTCTGTAGATAGTTTCATCCTGACACCGTATACTCAAAGTTAGTATCAGAGTTAAAGGTCCACCCCTACTCTAAATGCTATAAATCTAGGTGGATCCCAAGGCCCCGCCTTATGGTCCATAGCTAGAACAGGGCAGAGGATGGACAGAATTCAAACTATTAGTTTATAATAAACAACTCTGATACAACTCTGATACAACTCAGGATACAACTCTGAACAGCCACAGAAAGATGCCTAAGCTGGGTACTGGAGTAGGATTTAGAGTCCCCTGCCTTTCTGGGTACATTCTCCAAAAAACTTACTGTGTTCACCAACATAAAAGCCCATTTCATTTCCTCTTATGAAGGTTTAGCTGTGTAGGTACCACTGACTGAATCATTGGCTCTTTGTGACTAATCTCTAGACTCTCTCTGGGGAACTTGGGGTGGCAGTCAAAGTTCCAATCCTGACTCTTCCCAGTGAGCAGTCCTACTCGAAGCTATCTTGGGGCCCCTCAGCCACTAGGTATCTCATTAGCATACACAGACACTTAGTGGATCCAAAGTAGAAACACCCTTAGAACTCCAATGGGATTCTAATGATTTTGGTATTGAGTGCCAGGAACTTGAGACAAAGACCAAATATTTATTTTTTTATTCTATAGTCTCCCTTTAATATCAGAATTTCTTCAAGCAAGTTCCCCACTCCACATCCATCCATCCATCCATCCATCCATCATTCCACCATCTATCATTATGAGTGGTAATATGCTGCTGAAGGAACTGTCCCCTCCAAGGTACCGTCAGCATCACCAAACCAGAGCCATCATGTTTTAAGGCCCTACCTCTGCCCTTCCACAGACACCCCGATGCCTCCTGCGATAGCCATCCAGATTTTGTACCAGAGTCTTTGGTAGTGACATCTACATAACAAAGTCAGGTGAAGGCTATCTTCAGAATAAACAAAGGAAAGAATGTTCCAGTTTGATTTAGCAGTCTGATAGGTCAAAAGCAAGATAATTGGACTGAATAATTAAAAGTACTTAATGTTAGTTTCCCTTATGATTTTATAGGAAGCCAGAGCCTGTTAAATGCTAACTGTTGACTTTCTTAGGGATAAAGGGAGACTAAACTGGTCAGATGGCAAGAAGAAGGGTAGGAGAAGGACGAGAGGAAACATAAGGACCCACTAAAGGCAAATGTGGGCGGACCTGCCCTTTCCACACTGTAGGAACAGATTGCAAGCCAGCCATTTTTATTTTGGAAGCAACTTCTAGGCTGATGGAAATACACTTGCCTAAACGGTGTGTCTCCTAGAACTAGGTGGCTCAGGTATAGACAGATGCTGCAGGGTTAGGCAGGTGTCCCTCCCACCCACAAGGCTGCTGGGTGACTCTTCGTACATTCACAGGGATGAGAGTTAAGTAAAGTGGCCTAAGCCTGCTGCTGTGTAAGCGAAGAGTTAGCCTCGACTCAGCACTCCTAAGATGAGACAGGGGTAAGGTGATGGCTCAGTTAGAAAAGTGCCTGCCTTGCACAAGGACTCAGCAACCCAGTCAAGAGCCAGGAATGATAGTATATGCTTGTAACCCCGAGGCTAGAGAGGCAGAGTCATGCAGATCCCTGGGGTTTGTGGCCTACGTTAACCTATCTGATGAGTACCAGGACAGTGAGAGAGATGACATCTTACTAAATAAAATGGATATTCACACTCACGCACACATAGCAATTAGGTATTCACATCACCTCCTGGATACAGTCAGACAGTGGGATGATTCAGTAATACAAGTTAAACTGGAGACCCTAACAATCCTACTGGAGCAGAGCCTGTAGTTAGCAGAACGATGCTGCTGCCGACTTAACAGTAGACCTTTGGAAATGGGATGCTTGCTGTGGATGACACTTTGAGTTTAGGTTGTGTTTCCGTGGACCAGCATACCATCTTGTTTCAATCTTTTCAAGACTAAGAGCACTTAGTGCATGTGAAAGTTGGAAGCAGATGCCAAATTGTTCTATACACTGTTATAGATAATACGGTGTTTCTAATGGTTGTCAACATGGACTCAGAATGTTCCAGAACATTTGGCCTGCCTCTTCATTACCTGAAGCTCACAGTCAATGTTAGTGGAAAGGCAAGTGTTTTGATCCTAGCTCTCACTGGCTGCTGGACCAAAAAGACTTCCAATCTATCTCACAATATGCCTTCTGAGTTTTAAAGACTGGGGAAAGGGAAGAAAACGAGGTTCCTTCATATGTTAATTTGTTTGGGCTGCTGTCATATATTCCCATAAACCGAGTGGCTCATGAATAACAGAAATTTCTTTTCTGTGCTTCTGGAGGGCGGGAAGTCCAAGGCCAAGATGGAGGCAGGTGTCTGGTCAGGCCTTACCTTTATCCATAGAAGGCATTTTCCCTCTGTCCACAGGAAGGGGGGAATGAGCTCCTCTGCTTCTTTTGTAAGAGTGCTAATCCTCTTGGTGAGTTTCATCCTTGTGGCCTAACCACCTGTCAATGACCCACTACCTAATATTATCTCTTTGGCAATTAGAATTTTAACATGTAGACTCTGGAGGGACATATCCACAAGATCTCAGTATTGTGCCCAAAGCTCCCAACCATGGTTCAGATAGCCCAAGCCTTCCCTCTTTCTGCCCAGAATACACGTTTTTGAAGATCCCTTACCTGACTGATTTGTGTCCTTGCTTCACCTTGGGCCACTTCTCTGTACAGGTGAGGCTGGGGCCTCTCCCTAGCCTGGATGCCTACTCCTCTGAGTGTCTCAGTGACAAAGTGAGTTGGAAAAGATCAAGTTTGCTTTGCTTCTTTGGCCCTTTGTTTCCCAACCTCAGGCATATAGGCATGGTGCCAATGTACAGATCGTACTAAAGACAAATAAAATAAAATGATTGCAATTATAAAAGTAGCTATTTCAATGTTTTAAAAAATATCTTAGAAACATTATATAGTAGTCTCCTGAGAGAGAGAGATAACTCAGTCTATGTGCCTCACTTGAGCTCTGTCCTTGTCACAGGGCACCCCTTTCTTCTGGGTTTTCCAGTAGGAGCTGCCATGACTTGTGACATGATCCTCAACATCCTAACTGCTCAGCAACAGCCTATGCTTGTTCAGTTTAGACTGTCGTGAAGTCAGGGCTAATCACTGTGACAGATTCAGCCAGAAGCACAGTCTGTCTCTGGCTCCTGTGTGAACTTTCCTGTCACAGGTTCTCTGAAACCATCACTTACATGATGCCCAGGTCCTAAGGGCAGTCCGTGGTCCTCAGGAGCTGGGTATCCTCCAAGCCTACAATGGGGAGAAACACTTCTCTCAGAGAGTATAGCTTGCTTCCGAGTTACCCAGGCATCATAAAGAGGGCCTATGCTTTTGGGTAAAGCCCTTTCTTCCTTTACAAATGGCTTCTTGTGTAACAGAACTGAAAGGCAGTACTGAGCCTCTCCAAGCCCCAGGGGCAACAGGTGGCTCTGGTATCTCCTAGAGAATGACACAAGCTCTAGCTTTCAGTTTACTTGGGTTTCCATACTGCTCTTGGCC